GTTTCCTGCATCATCACTAAAAACAAGAAGCATTGCAGCTGTGTAGCATGCATCTCGCTGTTCCGCGTGAACAACAGCAGGTACGAGTAATCATTTTCCGGTCGATAAAAATGCAAGAAATACCACTGTTCAAGCAGCAGCAGTATCGACAGCCGACCACTGGCTTGGTTCTGGGACAGTGCTAACATCCTCAATTCCCCATTCTGTATTGGTTTGTATTTATATGGCGTTTTTTGTTATTTTGTAAATTATTGCATTTCTTCAATAAATGTTTAACCAAAAAAAAAAAAACATTGCTGCATGCCTAAAAAAAATTGCTGCTGAATTTTTGTCCTTAAGCATTCCCGAAATATTTTTGTCCCCGAAATATTCTTTCACGCATACTCGACCAAACCACATCACAGAGGAGGCACATGTGCCAGGTGGTTAGTTCCCATTCTAATTTGTTGACGACCCGTGCAGAGGAGTGGTCACAGTTTTGATGTAAACAACAACGACAACCAAACATTGTGTTGTCCAGGGTGATATTTTCACGTAGCTTCTGTGAATTTCACAAAAAGGGAGGGATCTCCAGTACAAAATGTGATAAGATTCTTGGCTGAGAGCTTCTAGCGTGAAAAAAAAAAGCTGTACAACTTCCAAGAACTGAAATTCTGTTAACAAGGTATACAATCAGTAAGTAACTCTGTCTTGCAATGGCTTTTTAGAGACAGAAAACACTATTCAGAGAGAACTGGGGGCCAGGCGGCTGCGCACTGCCCAGAAATTAATGCTTTCAGGGAAGCAGAGACCACTGAGCAACACGTAACTTTATTCTGCATTTTTTGCAGCGCTCAATTAGCAACTGATAAGACAAAATCCCCGCATGAAAGACTGGAAAAAATAAAAGAACCACCAAAAAACAGCAGGGGGAGAGCAAAGTAAAAGTAATGCATGTTTGTGTCTGATTAGACTGTGAGACATCGTTCAAGTGGTGGTGGTAGTGGTGGCCTTGGAAAATACATATCACAATCGTCTTGAGTTTGTAGACAATTCATCCAAAAAAAAGTACCGACGGTTATATACAGAAGAAAATAAAACTGAAAATTCAGGATGTACAGCTGCTGCTGCTGGGCGGGAAGCAAATGGGTTGTCACATTTGTTCTCATAAATGAAGTGCAAAGCGCGTGCAGAAATGAAAAAAAATGCAGTACATGTAGTTGCTGTCGTCGTCCCAGTCCAGTCAGATCCAGCACATCATTACTAACAGAACGGATTAGTAGTAGTGGGCTGCTGCTGAGTGGACGATGACGATGATGCGGGAACAGGCACCAGCGGCGACGGCATCACCGGCGGCACAACAGCAGCAGACGACGACGCACCTGCTCCAGGCAGCACAACACGATTCTGGCCCATCATTTCATTGAGTGACGGTGAGGGACGCTGCTGCGCTACGAATGGATTCGTTGCCACCGCCGGACCAGTGCTACCCGACAAGAATGGGTTGCTCGCTGAAATTTTTACAGCGCTTGTTGCTTTCTTCAAACATTTCCGCAGAAAGGAGGGAGGTCCATCGTCCATCGCGACCTTCCGACTCCCCAGAGTCTCGCCGCCTTTTTATTATTTTTTTTTTTCTAACTTTACGCTGTATACCTTCAGATAACTATAATCACAAATATGTAAACAGCCACAACCAGGTGTTTTTACACTTACACACTCCACCACACACACACACACACGCACACACACACACACACACGCACACACACACACACACACAAGTAGATTACGTACACTAGTCCAGCCGATAAGGTCACGACAGGATTTTATCGTCCGCATGCAGATACAATTAGCTGAAAAACCCTGAGGCTTCGCTTCGGATGCAAAAAAACAAGCAGGTCACCCACTATGTCTTATCGCATTGGTGCACGTCCCGTGTACCCACATGGTAGGTGACGGTGGTAGCTCTTCACCGATCGTTCTTTTTACTCAAATACCCACCTGGTTTCACGCCACTGTTTGTTGTTCCAAGCAGATTGTCCAGATTTACCAGTGAGGAGTTTTCACCCAGAAAACTCTCCGGTGTTTTCGTGTTATTTCTCTGTTTGCTGCTTTCATCGGCAGAGGCAGCAGCAGCAGCCGGTGCTTCACCAATAACAGGTAACGGCATCGGCGACCATGGGTCACTGTTGGATTTCGCAGGCGTAACGGAAGCAGCAGCTGCTGGAGGTGCTACTGTCCACGGATCATCCTTCATAGAGCCGCTCTGGATACTCGGATAAAGCGACGATCCTGAAAAAACCGGCATGACGTTTCAATGAAAAACAGTAACCTTCTTCAGCCCCTAAAAGCATTTGAACTTGCACGACTGTTAGCACTCTGCTCCCATTACTAACAAGACGCAGCAACATTCACCTTCTGTGATACCAAAAGGGATATGGAGTGCAGCAGATTGTCACACACTGATTTATTACTTTTTGTTGAAAAGTGCGTAAAGAGCCATTGCATCCTGATGATGCAACACCTCCGGTCCCCAGTTCAATCTATGTGACCTGTGGCCATCAGGGTATAAAAGCACTCTTCCTCATCTCCGGCATCCAGAGTCGCTATTTTCTTCACACAACTCTGTTCTGGGCAGCTGAAAAAAAAACTCCCTAAAGCTTCGCAACTTTTCCCCTATTTCACTTTACGTTTTATAACCCTAGTTTATAAATATATATTTATAACCAGGTATTGATTACCTACATACACACATACGGCATGCAAACTAGTCTAATGAACAATTATAAAAGTCGCGATAAGTTATCACAACGAAACTCACCAGTAGGAGCGACAACGCTGGCTGGCGTCCATGGATCAGAGACAGAGCCGCCGCCCCACGGATGACTGTTCGCGGCCGGATCAACTGGCTGTCCCACTCCCAGCGAGAGAAGGTCGTCGATTGCGCTCTGCGAGAGCGTCGAACTCGGAACTGTGTGCTGCTGCGCAACATCCATCGAATTCATGCGCTCGATTTCGCGGCGGCTCTCATTTAGTGCCATCTGAAATCGGCTGACAAAATTTCCACTGGTAAATGATCAATCAATTTTAAAGAATGAACAGTGTAGAAATTAATCGCAAAAGTCCGGGAAACGGTACAGATTCTGCGCTACACTGCTCTGCCTTTCGAAAGCCAACGCGGATACCTGCTAGCTTTGTGATCAGCTGCTTCGGGCCCTAACTCGAATATACGCTGCAACTGGCCTGGAATGAATATACCAGACCACAGCTGTCAGTCGTGGTTACCCGTCTTGCTATCTTCCCTCCAGAAATTATGCTGCAATACGATGTACCACTACCACCTAACTTGAAACTATTTACAAAGCCGATGCTATGACTGCTCGTACGGAAGCTTCCGGTAGTTCAGCAACTCTACTCCTACTGCCAGCATTGCTGCCTAAGTTAGACCCGGAATCGACGTGCCCCGCAAACGTCGAATAGGCATGAATGATAAGCAGCGGTCATTAGAAGGCCGAATCATAAGTGGGCGGCCGGAGTGGGATAAATTGATAGATAATTTGCGGTCTTTGATAGGGGGAATACTAATTTCTGAAGTAAACGGTTAGTCCGAACCGTGGAACTATGGAACGACTTCAATTTTCTTTCAAAAACATAATCCTACGAAAGTGGCAGCAGCAACCGCTTCTTTATAAAGATAGTCTCCCCCCTCTCCTTCCTCTCCCGCTAAACACTCACCAGATAAGCAGTCCGCTGAAATCCATTGTTCATCTAGCCCTACAAGATACTGTCGGTGCAATTCGAGACCAATATCCACGAAAAAACAAAATTCAGTCAAAATTTCGAGAACTACGAGGATCTACTTGATCAACAAAGCATTTTTAGGCATTGGTCGTTCAAATAAACGTAAGTTCAATCACTCAAGATTCTGAAGATTCCGTTTTTGGCGCACCTGCAAGCCGATGTCATCCCTTTTCCGCAATTCCTCCTCTTTTTCACTTTCTTCACGCGACAGAGCCAGCGCAATCTGTAGTTGCATTTCCTCCTCGCCGGCACTCGCCGGTCGTGCGTCCTCTAGCTCCGACTCTAAATTATGTTCGCCTTTACAACTGAATTGAATTACTCCTGCTAGGTCGGAGTACGCACCAAAAAGTAAGGGTTTTCAGTTCAAAAGCAGTGACCTTAGTCTGCATAAAAATGAAGCATTAAAGAGAGACAACTTAGTCTCTTTTTCTCCTGCTGGCAATATGCCTCAAGACAGCCGAAAAAATCAACCCGAAAAAGCCCGAAAAATTGAAATCCAAAAAAGTAAAATCAGAAAAGTCTCCTTTTCAAAAATTCTCTTATTTTACAGGCCTGAACTCTTACTAGTAATTTACACAACTTCTACAAACGAGAATCTGAAATGTCACGACTTTTTTCCGATCATCTCACCAAAACAGTATTCTCCTCCTCGTTAAAAAGCACTTTACAAATCACCAAGCCGGTAAAAAGTCTCTACCCCTAGCTCCAAAGACACAGTAATTGTTACACCGAAAATAAGAACTCGTACTAAGCAGAAGGAGTTCTCGCAACATCATCAGAGAGGCAACGAACCGGTTCTGTAGGCTCGGCATGCAGTGTTCAAAGGGTGCTTCTACACACACAACACCACAACATTCTGCGAATATCTTCCCATCAAGGATACCAAAAAAAGGAACTTCCGCTCCAGAAAATACACAGTTAATTTGAGGACCGCGTCACAATAATATTGCATGAAGGAAAATGTAATAGAAAATTTTGTTTAGTGACTATTTCAGCGGCAAAAGGGCTTCGCGCAGTGGGCGCGCTTCACTGGAAATAGAATAATCCGGGTTATGAGCACAGAAAATGGACATAACCAATAAAAGGGCTCTCGGTACCTCACGAACTATAAACCAATTGTAGCAACCAGGTTGACCCTGGAAGGCTAAATGGTGAAGACGTGGCAGGATACAGAAAGAAAGAACAGTAAGAGAACAGACGGTGAGAGTGAGATAAGGCGTTTCGGTCCGTTAAGTCATATATGTCTTAACTCAGTACCTTGTCAGTATGACGGTCGCAGTACTTAATGGAAAAGGAAAAGAGGAAGAGGGGAAAAGAAACGATAACTTTCCTGGCTAATTCGGAAAGCAAGAACTCCGGGCCTGTATTTTTTCCAATCAAAACGCTCAACAGTGAGTGAAAAGCTCAAAATCCGAAATTACATAACACAGGAGAATAAGAGTGGATAAAAATACCAAACGCGGGTCCAGTGTCATTTTTTCGCATATGCCGAACGGCACCATCCGAAGAGATGCCGGAGCCGGACATGAACTTTTTCCTAGTCATCATGAATTTCGTCCGCTCATTTTTCAACCGTTCCTCGTCATACAGTAAGCTGACCATTTGTTTGGCTTTTTCGCGTACATTCATGCCCTGATCTCTATTATCCTCAATGTGCTGGAAATCTTTGAGCGTTTCAATCGAATAGATATTTTCTCGACACTGCTGT